GACACGTGAACGTACCGATCACAGGACGTCAATTCCAAATCGGCACCGCCCTGACCCAACGCCAACCCAACGCCAGTTGGAATAGTTAAAAAAAAATAAATGAAAATAAAATGAAGGTTATAAAACAAGTAAACTAGCCCAGGGTTTCCCAAACTAGGGTCCGCGGACCCCTGGGGGTCCGTGATGACTGCCCACGCGGTCCGCAAAGATTTGATTAAAGTCTGATTGATCTTTATTGATTGCCTTCAATGAAAGGCCATTGTACCTTCTTGGCTGAGCTATGCGGACGAATATCCAATGCTATCACTGAAAACAATTACAATTTTATAGCCTTTTGCAACGACCTGCATGTGTGGGGCAACATCTTCAGCTCTAGTTAGGCAAACAAGTTGGTACGGCATAGTATGGGGGTCCGTCAAAACTAAGATTCACAAATAGGGGTGGCCGTTTTGCCAGACTTGTCCACGGGACATATTTTTCTGTCCCATTCCCATCCCATAGAAATTATGCCTGTCCCATCCCATGGGATTCCCATTGGAATAAAATTCAATAAAAATTGTTAAATTTTAGCGTCCACTAAATGGGACTACATGTACGAAGAGACATGCAAAACAATAAAATTTACGGACCTAACTTTATGGTCATAACTATTATACATGTGACCATCAGCACCCTTCACGAAGTATATTGTTAATGCTGAATATATTTGGCTTTCTATAGCTAACGAGAGAGCTATGCTCAATTATATAGGCACGAAATCCCTAATGAAATGTTTTACCATCATTTCCCCGAAAATCATACGGTTTTCGTGTCCCACGTGTCCCATGGGAAATACAAATGTGTGCTGTCCCATCTCATGGAATTTCCATGGACAACCCTGCGTATCGCCATCTCCCAGTTTTACCAAATTGAATTCTGTGTATTTTAATATTATTTTGTAGCCTACTTCGACAAAAAGAATAAACACTTCGTGTTTGTTTTTTATTTTCTTCCGTTTTTTTTTTCATGTGAGCAAACACCTACTTCTATTACATAGTTATACACAAAACATTTATTTACCCGTTTAAATTTTGTTGTAGCCTATTTCTTCAACCACGCTTTTATAACCGTTTGAAAGAATACTCCCATGTATCGCCTTCATGATGATTGCGGAATCGAAATAAACTCGCTGATGTGTACGCCCTCTCACCTCCCGAAAAATGCTAAGAATGGCGTCAAAAACACCGATCTTTTCTTACAAAATTCTTTTTCAATGTCTATGACATTTATCCAGTTCCATTGAGTAAAAACAATAGATGTGCATATTCAGTCATAAAACACAACACGAATAAGCTAAAGCAAATCCTTGACGGTCCCAGTCTAATTTTCAATCTGTGAATATTATGCTATTCCAAATGCGTGTGCAAAACATGATTTTGTGCTAGATTGCAGTAAAAGACTACAGCACTAGGATTTGGTGATTATATATCAATGCACATTTCTTCGGAAAATGGCGAGATTAGGTTCTCGTACAATGGCATTGCGTCACCAATTTTATTTATCCTTTGGCGTATTCGATTTTTTCGGTTCTCAACCTCTTCGCAAATTTTTAAAGTAAAATTCGCCCCGCAATCTCACATTTTTAATTTTTAACAATACATACTCATGGCTCATGCTAATTGATTGGCTTTGGTAGAATTTCACTTAAGAATTTCACTTTCACTTAACCACGGTTAAAGCAACAACGATCTTTTTAACCCGTAACTAATTATCTCGTTTCAAAAAGTTTTCGCGGTCGTGAAATTAATGTAACACTTATCACGCACCAGAGTACGTTGCAATATCAACAATAGAGTAATCTGCTACGCGATCAACATGGCACATGAAATGTGTCATCTGTTCGAAGAAAGCAGCCAGGATGAAAACTCTTGTTGCTTGAAAAAGTTCGATTATTATGAACTAATTTGGCTTTACTGTACGTGCTGGCTAGCTGTCATTCCAATTCCAAATTACCGCATCCCAAACAACTAAGGAAGGAGAAAGGGCCAGGCATTTTATACGGAACTACGTTGCACCTCGTACCAGTGATTTCCCTACACCCCCCCTAATTTTGAGGTGCGATTCCACACTGAGGGGTTCTAAACCGCAGTCTGCGGGCCAATTACGGCCCGCGTGACGATTTAAAATTGCCCGCCGAACTTGAGTGAAATAGTTTAACCCTTCATGTGGTACCTTTTGAGTTTTAGATACCGTTTATTGTTACATCATTATCACAGTTTAAGCACGTTTATTTCGTAACAATTGAATTATTCCGGTATCTTATGTATAGGTATGGGTATTATGATTACACACTGCAGTATTTTAGATATCAGCCATATATTAAGAAGGCTTAAAGATGTCACAAAACGAAAACTAGGAACTGAAAACAGACGTTTTTTAGATGAATGACAGCGTTTTTATTCCTTTATTGAAAAGAATCAAACTTCAGCGATTTGTCTCCTTACAAAATATTTCAGTTCTGAAGGAATACAACATTATGATCAGTTGACGAGCGTATTTCAAAATTTAATTCATACAAAAGTCAAACAAACATGTTCAAAACAATTAGAAATGTGTAACAAAACAAGCCATAAGTAGCCATTCATACAATGTCAGATGAGCAAGTAACTTCATTAGTCACTATCAGTTGCAAATTACTTGTTGAAACGTGGTAGTATAAATTTACGGTTGAAAGCCGTGCTTGTTATCTATTCCCCGAGAATTCTATCAGCTAAATATTATAATTATTGATTTTATTACATAACAAACTGCGATGCTAGGTTATCTAAAATCAAGCTTAGAGCCTATTTTGGTGCCTATTTCTCAAAATTTTCTCAGGGCGCTTAAGCGCGCCCTGAACCCCAGCCGTATCGTCCCGCACTTTTCCTCGCTCCCCTTTTCTGGCCCTACAATTTCATTCTGCTCTGGATTTTGGCTCGCCGTCAATCAACTTGCCCCCCCCCCCCCCCCCCCATGTACATCGTTTCTTAAATACATACCATTTTTTTAAGAATACAAATAGCCTAGTTTTATTTCTAATAGCAAATTATTTACCACCCCCTAAATTTTGAAACACCCCCCCCTAAAGAGAAAAGCTGGGGAACATACTACCTCGCATTTCATCCAGGTCAAGAATATCATGACAAGACATTCAGAATTTATTTATTATTGTTTCTGACACTGTTTTTCATGTACCACACTACTTCGCAGTTGTTTACCTTAATCAATTACCTTGGCGCGGCGGCGTGGCTCAACGGGCTAAGCGTTAGGAATACGCTCGCCATCGCACCTCTAATTACTCTGCGTGGGTTCGCAGGTTCGAATCCCATGTAGGGACGGTTATGTGCGAGAGGATTGCTGGACTCCTCGCCGTCGTTGGGTGGTTCACGTAACCGCTGGTCGGTTACGGCTTCCTCCACCACCAAGTCCATGCTTCCGAAGACAAACAATATAACTAATCCCATACCCGACTTGGAATGGTAACCGGACGAGAGGCCGTGGTTCGCCATATGGAAAAGCCGTCTTATCGGCTTTCCTCTCCCCCGGGATAAATATGTAAATCCTATCCTATCAAATTATTTGCTTCAAATTAGTATGCCTGGTTGGCATTACAGTCCTTGGTTTGCTTTGAATGCAGCTTGGGTAAACAAATAGCGATAATCACAGCCAAATCACATCAGTTTGATGAAAACAGTTTAAATTGAAATCCACTGTGTCGGCAGTGTGTATTAGAAATGTGCAGATTACAGTTTTGTCGCCGATACCAGCCAAAAACGCCGATATCGATGCACCGATATTTGAAAAATGCCAATATTCTGATACCGATATTTCGATACTATATAATTATTACCTCAATTGTGCAGGGCTGACGGGTTAAAACAATAATCTTTGTGCATTTTTAATAGTACACATTATTTCGGAGAAAAAATAGAAGTAGGCCTATATTTCACTTGTGTATATGTATGTATATATTTATAAATTGTTGATGTTTGAGATCTAAATGCGTTACTTGATTCAGATGCATTTAGCACTGGCGCTAGTAATCAAGGTGTTCAATTACAAAACTAATAGAATTTAGCTACTGTTGGTGGTAAAATAAATGTAAATAATAATGTTATGTAAATTATTGTTTAGCCTATTTATCTTATGAAACTGATACATTGAGTTACGTGCGCAGAATCTTGTGCCAATATAACGTCGTATTTTATATTTTACGCATCGGAAAATCCACTAATATATTTCTTCACAATTACCATGTGATATTATTAAAAATTAAAATTTGAGCCAGTTTGACCAATAAATGGCTAAAAACAAGTCAGAATCCGATTCCCGTTTCTACTAGCGGGGTGGGGACGTTCATGCCTCATAGTTCACGTTCTAACAAAGCAAAAGATAATTTCAAGATTGGTATTCTAACCTATTTTTTAGAACATTTTGAATTATAATGAGAAGCTAAATATATCGGAAATATCGGTCTACATTTAGCCGATACCGATACATCTCTAGTGTGTATATGTGACCGAAGTTAAGACGCCAGAAAGACACACGTTCTTGTTTTTATCTTTTTTAAACGTATGTTCGTGTGTGTAATAGGAGTAAACTAGCACATGTGTGTCTACTTGTTTGAAACCTTATCAGATGTTCTTCCAGTTTTTCCAATCGACTGTTTATTCATTGCTTTGTTTTGTGTTTTCTCGTAGGAATCAAAACAAACTTATACCTTTTCCCCTCTACTAGGACTGACACCATACGTACAAACGTTCCGGCCAACCAATAGAAATTCCAAACGATTTTCTTCAAACTTGTATCATCTTCAATTGAGTGCAGATATCTTCCAAATTTGGAATTTATTAAAATATTGCTTCACAATTTTAATATTCTCACATTATCAAAAGTCTGGTCTTCCAAGTTCCACGTTTGAAGATTTAAGCTTTATGCATCACACATACTGAAACTACCAGAAAAACTCAAAACACCATAACTTTAATGAAATCAATTATAATTCAATTCTTGCATAACTAATTTGGCATAATATTAAGATATTATATACTTATACTATTGATTTTTTTTATGATACGACTAAGATGTAAAGGTGATGACATTACCAGGTCTTGATTTCCCTAAATATGCATAGTTAAATTTGCTACAAGTAACTGGCATAATATACTGCAGTCTGAAAATTTAAGTGATAAAACAAGCATGATAATACAGAATGAAACAGTGATGTGGTCGATTCTAAATCCTTGAACAATATATGCTGGAGAATATCAAAAACAAAATAGTTATATAACTAATGAGCACTAAATTTTGGTTTCACACTTACTTGAAAACCTATACTCACTTGTGTTAAAAATTTGTTATACGAGGCATTGCACAATTTAGCCCCAAATTTGCCTTCCAAAGAAGAAGTATCTGGTATTCAATAGCGAGTAAGTTCAGAAGGACCAGATAGTGGAAATGCCAATATAATCATATGTTGGATTTGTGTTTCATTATGAAATATGATACACTAGAATCCATCGGTTCACAACCAATGGGCCATTCCTCACTGCAGGGCCACAAATCCATTGTAAATTGCAAAAAGTTATTGATAAATTTAGTTTCATTTGGGTCGCTATAGGTAAATTTTGATTGTAATAGCGATGAAAGATGATCCTGTTTTCTGCTACCGAGTGGCAATTTTAATCCTAATTATAAAAGTGAAAGTGTCTATTATTGCAAAAAGATTTTTTTGCTTTTGCATTTTTTTCCTTGTATGAATAAGTTAATGTGCCAGAGAGTTTTTGAGCTACATAAAAAAAGTTTGAGGAACCACTGCACTTGACTATTTTACCCTAGGGTTGAGATTTCATTCGAATCATAATTGAAGAAAATTAAGAAGACAGATTTCAGGATGTAGTCTTTCAAAAATGAAAAATTATTTTTAAAAAATTGTCAGAAATATGTTGAAAACCCATTATTTAGAGGTTACATCTAAGAAAAATGGCGGAGCTGGAAATCCGAGTGTATTATAGACGGAGCAATTCTTAAGAATTCAGGATGAAGTCTTTCAAAAATGAAAAATTATTTTTAAAAAATCGTCAGAAACATGTTGAAAACCCATTATTTAGAGGTTACATCTAAAAAAAATGGCGGAGCTGGAAATCCGAGTGTATTATAGACGGAGCAATTCTTAAATTCACAAGGGGTTAGCTCCCATGCATATCTCACTTTCTCAGCATACTTGAAATCATCGCTACATTTTTTGCTGCTTATGGTGATCGTATGGTCAGTGGAACCAAGAATTGGAGTTGTAAACCAAAGTGGACTGTCTGAAGGATCTGTGACTTGACATTTTTCATCTGCACAACAAATCTGTAATAGAGAATAAAGCTGATAAAACCAAATGTTAATGTTTACTTGAAGTTTGTTGAATATGGCTATGATGAAGAAATACTCAAAATAGGCAAGACTCCTCTGAGTTAGAATACTAATATTATTTAAAGATATTTTTATTACATTTTGAGCTTCCACTCTTAACAAGCACTGGTCGGTTACAGCTTTCTTCGTCAACAAGTTCATGCATTTAAAAAAATAACCAGCCAACTAATTCCATACCAGACCCGAGACAACCTGACGAAATGCTGTGGTATACCAAATGATTAAATGGTGTTGTCAGCTTTCCTCTTCCAGAATACCTATGAAAATCCTATTCTAAGAATCTACCTTTTTGTAAGGACCACAATCTTACAGGTTAGTGCAACCAGAGTGTAGTGGTGATCATGACGTTTGAAACAGATTATGACAACATAGTTAACCTCTTTGTGAAACAAGTGGAAAACTTTATAACCCTTTGAGCCCAAATACAATCATATCTTCAGTTGAGTAAACATGTAACATTTCTTTTGACACTTTTTGTTTAAATTTCTGGCTCGTTTCATTTGCTCGCCTGATTCCAATTAGTAACTAATTCGTTTCTATTCGAACCATTTTCATTAGTAACTAATTCGTTTCTATTAGAACCATTTTCATTGTCTGTTATGTTGATCAAGCATTCAAAATTATTATTCCTATTATATATTAATCTTTTAGTTGGATCGAATTAGGCGTACATTATGTTTTCTTAGATCAGTCATATTCAGGCCACTCTGACATAAGTGGGCTCGTTTCAATCAGCGTTGTGAAGTCTGACAAAAAGCTGTTTAAATCTCATGCAATAAAATAAAAAGTCCTCAACTTCCAATCTAAAACTAACTTTGATAAAAAATTTTCGACAATATATAACTTGTATACAAAACTTTCAGTTGATTCAGTTTCAAATTATGATTCAGTCTCCTTATAGTCTGAAATTCAACTTAAGACTCCAGGTTAAAGGTTAAACTTTCATCTCTAAATATGACCCCCATTTTCGTAAATGAGAATACAATTTGAATTCCAGATGCGGTCATTCACTGCACAAATGAATGCCATCCTCAATGTTTAACAAGAAGATTCTTTAGCAGAGACATAACATAAATCATCTGACTTTATCTTACCTGAAAGTTGTTGTTGTCAACAACAGATAATTGTTGATAGTTGGAATATTCAATCAATATTTCATGTTTTGTGTTTTCAGTTAGTTTTTGAGGAAACGGTCCATCGAAAACCATGGTTCTATGATATGCAACAGCAAGAGCACCAGCTACTAGACGGTGTGCAACATCCTGCTTATCACGTGTATGAACACTAAAAATGAAAACGATATTAGTCTTGTTTATTGTATTCAAATATTTTTCATTTCCGAATTTTCTCTTTGTTACTAAAAATATTATCATGAATTATTCTCGTTTGTTAATAACAATCATCTTTGTGGTTTGTATGTGCCTGCATGTGAGCAGGTATTAACTATTAATTAATAGGTATTAACATATTTTTAGGTGGGTGAACATATATCATTCCTTTTGGCAACACATCGAGGTTTGTTTGTCCTTATGACTCAAATTTAATTTGTTTAATTTTATCTGGTTATGAAGTCAAAATAAACCTATACTATTGTACAATACTGAGTTTGAATTCACCAACCTCGCATATGGAGAATCATTATCAGGCAAATCGATGGCAACAGCCATGAACGTATTCTCCATTTCAGGATTGGGGACATATCCATAATCCGCTGTTTGATGCCAGCGTATCAACTCAAAACTTCCTGATGTTGAAGTTTTATCTCCTATTTGTACAAATCCGAAGGGGAAATCTGGATCCGTTGACATCATTGTGCCTTCATACCAGTTTTTTCTCCAACTCTTAATCATTTGAGGGAAAACACACTGATAGGAGTTGGTATGATATGCCTCATTTGATTCTCCTGCATAGAAAAAGCAAAAAATGAACTGCAACTGATATGTATACCCAATTCGTAATAAAGTATCATGTCCCAGCTATGAATTTGGTCAAATATAAGAAACAACTGCCATCTTAGTAGTGGATTCTGAGTCGCTGGAAATCCTTGAATTGAGCGCGTAAAGAAAAATCAATCAAACTCCTCCAAACGACATTCGAAGCAAGAACTTTCAGATTTTAAAAACAAGCAGGTCTCAAATATGAATGATAATTCAGAGTATTATAAAGGCATTGGAGACCTGGTACTGCCAAAATGAAATGAACCAAGTTCATAGGACCCAAATTCACCACTATATTCTGACGTGTATTTTGTAGATCATGTAGTAACATGGGGGGTAGGAGTGTGATAATACATATAGGGAGCAGTAAGTCATTATTTGGACAACAACTTTATGGATGTTTTCCCAAACATTGATTTTCTTGTTTATTTCCGTAATAATGACCAATCGGGAAAAAGCCAAGGATGGCGAAACAAATTGGATTTTTTGGAGCCGCTAAGACACCTTGTTCGTTCAGATAGATATTCAAGCATGGTTTTAAACATTGCCTTGTTATAACAGTTTTTAGATGTGTTTTCAAAAATTAGTTGTAAATGAAGTATTTTAATTGGTATTAATTGGCTGCGATAGACTAGGCTTGAGTGAGCATGCAGGCGACATGTGGTTGTATGTTTTAATTAAAATAATGGTTTTGTAAATCAGTTTTTAAAAGTCAACTCTATCAAACACTTGCAAAATAAGTATCCAAAATTTTGCATTAGTAAAGTATAGCGAGAAATTTTCCGGGGTCGAGGGTCGGGGAAACATACATTGTCTGTTACCTCATTCTAATAGAGCGCTATTCCAAACAATTCATCTCAAAATTTGAATTATTATATTTGGAAATTTCTAATGTAAAATTTTTTCAGATGATAATAAATACAGTTTTCTTTAAAATTTGGAAATTGGGACCAAACTATAATGATATGTACAGCATTTGTTCAGTCTAAATTAATATCCAAATCACGATTGATATAAATCAATTATACTTATACAAGAATCGCTCCAGGAGCATGGTACTTACCTTGGTACCACAGAACTCCCTTGATTGTCATATTAATCAGAGGATGTATTTGTGCATTCCATATTTTACTATTATCCCAGTATCCAGTAAACCCATCATTATCATAAGCTGATGGAATTTCATCACTAAAACAAAGTAGGGTAATGTTATTTTTTAGCAATACTCTTAACTTCCATCTCAAGTAGTGTGTTAAAGTCAAAAGTAAAATAAATATATCTCCACTCTAATATAAACAGTCACAGCAGTATTTTTTTACTTGAGAAATGAAAGATATGGCCTAAATTCAGAGCTGGGATTCCAGAGTTGTTTTCCCAGTTGTTGGAAGTAGAGTCAAACCAAGTTTATCATAATAAAATGAGCTGGAGTTTATTAGCCTCTTATAGTCTATGTTACCTGATGTAATGCGTCTGGCTAAAACAAACATAATAAATCACTCAGAGCTGGATTGGTAGTTAATGAATTGGTTAGTTAATGTTGCAAAGCTGCCATAAATTTTAGTGGCTTCAGCCTTTGATCTTTTAACATTTTGTTACATTCATAATTTTGCAATACTTCATACAAATATTAATTCAGCTTGCGACCTTTTTCAAAATTTGATTTCTAATATTAATTGGGATGTTCCCCCAGGCCACCTGATATTATTAAAAATTATTCTTACTTGCTTGTTTCATTACAAACATCAAAAACTTCAGGAGGAGCCCAAGGTTCGACTGGTGTTCCACCCCATGTACTTGCAACTAAACCTAGAAAAATGATTATAAGTTAATTTTTATAATTCTTACAAGAAAAAGATGAATGTAATGAGTTTCAAGCATTGCAAATGGGAGAAATATTATTATATGATATGCAGACTAGCTAATAAATGATTCTGTTCACTGTTCAGAATTAAGGATTTTAGACATAATCAAAATTTTGTCAATTTTGAATTACTGGTGTAGTATCACAAAAGCTATATTGAAACCCTAAATGAACAAAAATTCGAATAATGTGACTTCTAAATAAATCATCAAAATTTTAATACTAAATGGGAATATTCTTACCTATTGGTATCTTCAACTCATCATATAAATATTTCCCGAACAACCAACAAACAGCAGAAAAATAGCTCCAGTCTTTCCCTCCAACAGTTTCTGAAATGAAAAATGACAACTTTATTTACGAACCTTGACCTCTTCCAAGTTTCCATGTCAGATATGGATATAGTTAACCGGATAATTGTATTCATGGACTATAATAAGATATATAGATATAATAAGAAAGCTTATTAGATGGCATAATCATACAAGATAATATAACTCTCGTCCGGTTACTAGTTCATGTCAGCTTTGGGATTAGTGGAGGAAGCCGTAACAGTGGCGGTGAGGAGTCCAGTAATTTGACACTCAGGATCTAGGATTCGGACACATGCAGGGTAATCAAAGTGCGATGACAAGCATATTCCTAATGCTTAGCATGATACGGATACTAAGCATGATAAAGAAGTGGAGTAAACAAGCATTGGGTTGATTTGCCTGATTGGTAAAACAAGTCCAAACTAGGTGCCTAAAGTGGTTATATGCTCTACATCAGTGCTTCCAAATTAGCCCGTCTCCTATCAAGCCTCGACTTGAGTTGATAATATCAAATATGCACGCTCAAGTTTTGCATTAATTGTAAATTGCATGTGGATTGGATACATTGTTTCTTTTCTCATATATTATTAACATTTCAATGTGGGTTGCAAGAAAAAATGGTAATAAAAGTAGGTCGCGAACTGAGAAAGGTTGTAAAGCACTGCTTCACATGACAATTTTTAGTTACTTAACAACTAGTAAATATAAAAATGTACAATGTACATAAGGGATTCCACTTTGTAGGTAAATAAAATCATAGGTTAAAAATATAACTGAAATTGTACATTCAGCTAATTTTTCTATTTTTTATGAGGTGATATATATACAATGCATTGGCACTCAGTCATTACATGCTATAGTATACATTCTAAATCCACAATAATAGACATCGGACTAACAGAAAAACATATTAGTATATTTGTATATAGTATCTTTGTTTGCACAACACGTCAACACAAAGGAATTATATGTTTTACAGTATTCCATTACACTGTAGTACAGCAAATCAACAATAAAGATAATTTCCTGAAATCAAAAATTGGTGCAAAACCAGATTGAGACACAGTTATATATTCTCATCAATGAAATTTGGTTTCATCAGGTTAATTTATAAAGACGACATATGGTACAATATTGAGTGTGCTGAGTAATTTAATCCCTAATTAAAAATGATTAAGATTCAAACCAATGCCTGTGATCATTTGCTTCAAGCAAGGTTGTGAGTCGGGAGTACTTCGCCACAAGGAAATATATATATATATATATCACCACCACTAACTCTGACTCAATAAGAGATACAACTTGACTCATTAAGAATATAACAATAATGGTAAACAATTGATCCATCTTTTACTCTATCAACTAATTCAGCCTTTTTCATGATATATGATTTTGAAGTCTTATAAATTTGCCCAAATATACTCTTTTGCAATGAAATGCTCTGGCAAAATTTAATCGGAAACAGATGAAAAAAAGACGTACCTGGTGAAGGAATGGACCACGATTCTTCAATGACAGATATATCATACAAAGGATCATCAGAGAAGTTTTGATTAACTGTAAATAATCTAATATCCTTATAATTGACGGTTTCTTTCAATTCTTCTGAGGAATTGTACACCTGAAGTGTAAACGAAAAATAACCTATGCATAAGACTTGATTGGCCTTTTTCGTATAATTCATAAAATACATATTAAATATGTATCATTGACACTGCCTATTCCAAACTTGGTTTCTAGTGCAATTACCAGGCAGTTGCTATAACATAAGCATCAGAACAATTAGAAATAATGCCAAGGCCTTTACCATTGGGCAATGGAATGAAGAGAAACAGGGTATTAGTCAAATACAAGGAAGCCACTGATCTGCATTTTTAATACATGCTCGCCCAAAACAGAGTCTATGGCTTTTTAAAGTGGAAAGACTATTTTTGAAAGAGTTACAACTAACCACAGATGGCTAACAACTATATATTTATTGTATTTGCAAAAGATACACCAGTAGATAGTGATTCTTGGGAAGAATTCAGGCTCCATTGACAAGCGGGAAACCATGAGCAAAATAGCTTCCATCAACTTTTCATGTATTTGACAACTTCTATTTCAAAAAAAGTTACAAAATAAAATAATGAACGAATCGAGGCCGTTTTGATTGAAATTACCATGCAATTTTAAATGAAAGTATCATATTGCTTACTTTTTAAAAATGCTCCAAAGAAAATTGCTTTAAAACCTTTTGATTAGAAAATATATAGGTGATCAAGATAATCTACTTACCATACTCATTGTAAAGACCATATTACTTTGTCCGCTGCAGACATACACCTCGCCAAATAATAGATTTTTCAACAAAATCCATTGTAACCTTCCAAAATGATCATGAACTCCTTGAATATCAGAAGTTGAACCAGCAGGCTGTGGCTTGATTTTCACCATCCATATACCTCTGTCAGGAAACCCTGTGTGAATTGTAAATAATAAAAATACAACTCATGTTCATGTACATTAATACGACATTTACCTAAGACCCATATGGTCATTAGATTGCAAAAATATAGATGGGAAAAAAAAAAATTCGAAGCTTTGTTTGAAAATTACGGATAAAATATTATTTTTATACTTGATGAGAAAACTTAATTATATGGCAAACCACAATCTCTAATCCGTTTAACAGTCTATGGCGAGTATGGGATTGGTTAGCCAGTTGTTTGCTTCAGATGCATAGACTTGAAAGTGGAGATAGTCGTAGCCGACCAGCAGCTATGTAAACCACCCTACACCAATGAGGAGTGCAGAAATCTTCATAATTAACCCCCACGGCCACAGGATTCAAACCTGCAAACCCACGCAGAGTAATCCGAGGTGCGATGGGCCGATGGCAAACGTAATCCTAAAGCATGATGAATCACCCGCCAGGCCACTATGCTTCAAAGGTTGTTTGGTTTGTGCATGAAACCTTGAACCAAATCTTTATGATGATACCTACCAGAGTGAACTTTTACTTTAGTGCTGTATACATCTTGAACGTTTACAGAAATATTGACAGTGGCTCCTGGAGTTCCATATCCCCATATAACAGCACTATGTGGCTCCATTTGCAAAACCATGTTATTTTGATAATATGATGCAAATGCAAAGGTGACTTCTGTCTGCTGATGAGGCTTCTTAGCTAAAACAAAAATTACCAATTTCAAAAAGGTTAAACACTTTCAATTGGTTTCATAGTGTGATTAAATTTAATCATTTTCTTGATTTCAATTCCTTGTTTATATCCTTTTCAGGTCCTTTCTCATAAAAATCACAAAAGAATTCCATTTTCAAGTTATTCCGTTAGCTCAGAATTTAGAGGCATTAGAGCTGAAGCCGAAACAGTTTATCGGCTACGCCTACTGGTATGCCTACTTCGGTGCAAGAATTCTCATTAAACCGCGGAACTTGCAGAAGCCTCAAAGCCACAACCCTTACAGGACTGCCTTAGATCAGTTATTTCAGTATTTGAGCAGGTATTGTGAGGCGTTCACTTCGCTCAATCGCTAGACCCGTAGAATGCAGTAATGTAGGTAGAGTCTAATATTTTAGGCGAGGTTTGGATAAAAATTACCACCATGTTACGCCTTCAGTACTTCCAGACTTCTGTTTGTCTATACTTTTATCTCTTGCTGTTCAGCTGTCTTTGCCTAATGTCAGAATGCAGGGGTCTCATGTAGTTTCGTACCTAACATACTTCTAGTGGGCGTAGCATAACAATTTTTTCACGTATCAATCCTAACCCCCACCTGACTACGCCATTCAAAAATTACATCACTACAACGTCACAATCACGTCATAGAGCTTGTCAAATATACATACGATCGCCCGAAATGGCATCGGCGCCGACGATAAAGAACTGACTAATGTCAGCGATCTCTCTCATATTGGGATCGTTGCGACGAAAAAACGAGAGAAATAGTTATTCGATTTCGGATGCTCGTCTTGGACAACAGTTCGTATAGTTTGAAGGGCTCCATTACGTCACTGTGACATCGTAGCGACGTAATTTTTGGATGGCATAGTCAGGTGAGGGTTAGGATTGATATTTCAGAAAATTGTTATGCTACGCCCACTAGAAGTGGATTAGGTACAAAACTACATGAGACCCAAATGCAGTAATGTCTGAATGTGGTGCAACCTTCTGACCACGCAATGCAATTTTCTTACGCCAAGATTTAATTAAGTACGGTAACGTGTGCTAGGTTAGCTAGCAGCTTATAGTTAATAATAATACAGTTTACCTGCAAATTTATCCATGCGAAGAATCCTTTGATTTGCATTAACAAAGATTATTGTTGCCAAAACAATAACCAGAGATCCAAAAGCATGCTTCATCGTAGTTTTATAAAGTAAAACGAATTGCCTTGCAATAACGATTCGAACAATTACCAAGCTGCCAAGTGCCTAATACAGTAATACTCAAATGATAAAATATGATACAGCAAATACAGAATAATGATTATCCTTGAAAAGTAAATAAATTAAACAGAACGCGCCCCCGACACACCTCTTTGCTCGGCCCAATGCACAGCAAGTCACGAGGGGAATGTGCAAGAGAATTGCTGGATCTTCGTCGCCGTAGGGTGGTCCAAAGTGACTATAAACCAAGTGAGGACATGCCTTGGTAACGTTGTAAGCGCTCGTGTGACGTCACACCAGCCATTTTGGGTCTAGCTAGAGTGTATCGCTGTATGATCCTAACTAAGTGATTTAAACAGCTGAATAACAAAAAAACGATGCTCAATAATTCGGACCAAACTTTCGCAGCGGCAAAACGAATGAGCAATCTTCTGAAAAATTAATTATCCGCAGATGTTTCTCGGATAACTCGGCTCGGCGGTATGGTCAGCATATACGAAGTTAAGGTTAATAAAGTCATCCAACTTCACTCAGTAAATCAACACTCCAATAAAACCAAAATATTAAACAAAAAGATACACATTTTCTTATTAAAATATTATAAAATTTCTGATGTAAGTATCGCTACTTGCACAGAACCTATTTTAACAAACTGACAGAACTACAATACAAATTATACTACAGAAACTTGCACTATTTTTGCGGTACATGTCATAATACTAAAATATACGTATCGCAAATTTTCAACAAGGTGTACATTGCCAAAATAATATTAAAAAAAAAAAAAAAAATATACTACATGCATGGAATGAAGGATAACGGCGTATATCAAGTTTACAAGAACATCTAATAATCTGGAGTGTATAAAATAATATATTATCTATCAACTATTTGACTTGAGCTCTTGCAGCAGGTCTACTAGCATACCGTTTTTTAATAATTTCAGATGTCTCCTCTTTTGCGTGAATATTTAACCTTAAATTGAGAAACGTTTCAAAATTTTAAAAGCGATATTGCGGCAAGATGGGAAATTATATTCCAAGCAACTTTATCTGTCAGAAAAGTAACAGGCGAACATATATTATGAAAGGCTTAATATTTGCGCGAAATATAGTTTATACTTCGCGCGAAAATACGATTGCTTTTTTGGATGGGTGGCATAAATATTGGGTAAAACTATCCATTTTCAAATATTTATCAGGTGTGTAAGACCTAAAAAGAGTTAGTAAAGATTGTGGGCATTAAATCGGGATTGACCCTTTCCATAGAAACAAACAAACAATTTGAACCCCGTGTCTTTATAGGGTTCCCCCGGAAACATCAGGGCTAATTTTTCACTGTTGGATATTGATAAAATTACAATTACGTTTTATCAACGAGAACGTAGAAGACATGATGGCGTCGCTAGATCACCTAGTAAATATTTTACATTTCCTGACTCAAAGAATCGAAATATCCTGCCAATAATAAATGGTAAGAGCTGCAACACCAGTCGCGGCGGCTGGTTTTCAAATTTCGTACCTTATAATGTACATGCTTCGATGAAATTCATTAGGCCGCACAATGTGCTAGCCATGAAACCGTTTACATTCTATAATTTTTGGAGCAACAGCTCGTTAAATTAAGAAATATATTTCCGAGAAAATTTATTTCATCAGCTTCTGAGATGATTAATGTAAAACGCAGGCTTCAAACGTTTGGCATGGTGTGAACAGGTATCATAATACCAGTTCAAATAGTACCTGATTTAAACCTATGCATTAGGTTAATGACGTTTCACACTTGCGAAGGAAAGCGATATGTGTTTTTCATACGGAACGTTGATACTTAATTGCGTAACGAAGTAATTTGGGATTGGGAACGTTGTTGTTAAACTCAAGTTGGCGCAGTGGACATGTCAAGAATTGGAGAACATTGAATGAAAAAACTTACAATAAATACAATTTTACTGGTGCACGACAAATTATATCTAATGTCGAAAGCTATGCTCAACCTATGCAAATGTGTCGATGTCATATTATTTTAAAACAAGCAAATCGAAGTTTTTGTTATTTAATTCGAAAGCTTTTCAAAAAAAATTTCACGCTTTTCAATTTTGCCGATTTTTGTATGATGATCGCGACATTTTATCTTCATCTCCTAATTATAATTATACTCCTAGATTGTCTTTCAAACAATATACAACTTATCTGCATCTAATATAAGGTTCGTGAGATATGAGGTTTCAAAGATGCATAACTCACACCTGATGATAAGATAACTATCGCAACTTTCACGAAACCGCACGATACCAGTATGATTCCACGAGGCAAATACCAAAAGAAAAACAAGAGAGCTATGCTCAAATATATGGACACGTAGCGCCACCTAATGGCAATAATTTTGATGACGTCATAGCAAAAAAAAAGTAATAGCCTTCTGAAGAAAATTTTTATCTTTAACTATGGAAAAATTTCAAAGCAATTGGTCCAGTAATCAAAGAGAAAATGGATTTTTTAAAAACGTGTCAAAGAACAACAACAACAACATAATATTAAAACGATCGCTATGTCTACTACGTGTCCAATAATGAAATTACCCGAATAAAATGAAAAACAGTAAAAATCTTCAAACAAATTGACGAACGAGACCTTCTCACGAAGCTAAAACAAACCGACGATGCCGCGTTCCCCCGATTCGTTGGACCCAATATATATGACGTTCAATACGCACCATTGCACTCGGTGTCTCCACTTGGTTTATAGTCACTGTATAGTCATTGTATAATAGGAAGATTAATGAATATTTTTCAATGATTTCAAGATCCTAATTTCTGTGCAGCGATGCGGTTTTTGTATAATTTGCATACTTTTTTCGTTGAATTAAATTAAGTGTTTTTCTTCGTAGTAGTATATATTTACGATTTGTGGCATTAAGGAAAGATTGATTGTTTTTGGTAGATGCGTTGCGTCAATATCGGCGGTAGAATCTATTTCATTTCGCAAACGGCCCGGCATATAAGTAGCATACCATGGTGTATAGCAGTAGTCGGCAACTTTTTGTCGGGCCGCATAAATTTTTAGAAAGTAAAAACCAAACATATAGTCGATGAATCCCTACTTTTTCGTATAGTTTGTCAAACTTGAATTGAGTTTTACTTCAAGAATATATTTTTATAAAAATCAAGCAGTGATACATCTTCGAATAGAATATGAATTGTCTTTCCTCATTGCATTGCATTTTTTCTGCGCCATTCAACCCGCAGCACCCAGTATCAACTTTTCCGTGTCTTGTTTCCAGTTGTCTAATTATAATTAAATTGTAAGCTCATCAAATAAGTAACTGTTCATGAACTGTTGGGTTATACTGTAATATAATCTAATCGCACGTGTCTGACAATAAATTCTGTTACGTAAAGAATATAATGGCGAAAACAGCCGGTTTGTTGATATTATTCAGTGAAGCATCTCGGGCCGAATTATTTTACTCCGCGGGCCGTGGGTTGCCGACCCCTGGTGTATAACATGGAGGGAAAATTACGGCCAGCGGGTTGGATCCAGCCCATCGAAGTTTTTCATCCGGCTCAGTTGTGTCTGCTGGAATTACGATTATACTTTTTATGGATATAAATTTCCGTTAAAATAGCGTCATGAGGACGATACTTATTACTATATAAACGTTAGCATAGCTGCTGTAAATAAACTAATATAGACTGTAACTGGCCCACTAAGAAAGGTAATTGCGCACCCCTGGTGTAGAATGTGTTTTCATCTAGCGATGAACTCTTTAATACCTGTTCGAAGCCACTCTGCAGAACATAATCCAGCGGGCATCGAAAAAAGATATGTCCATGGAATACCACGAATACGTTCCCTGAATGAGTCCAGTCACTTTCTTGTAATCATAACAGGTTGGGTGGAACGGGGGTTCGTAACATGTCATTGATTTCTTTTTGAAAAGTTACAACAATAAATGGTCAGAATTATCAAGAAGATATTGACAGGCTTGTCCATGGGACATATTTTTATGTCTCATTCCCATCCCATAGCAATTATACCTGTCCCATCCCATGGGATTCCCATCGGGATAAAATTCAATAAAATTTGTTAAATTCAGGTTTGGCGTCTACTAAATAGGACTACATGACATCCGTACCTTTCAAGTCCGTATCAGCATCACAATGTCCGATATATTCAATATATATCGATAACGGAATTCCTCAAGGTAGCGTATTATCTCCACTTCTTTTTAATGTTATGACAAACGATTCCCCAAAGAGGGCTTAAACAAGGCGATCCAATCTCATCGTATTTATTCCTCATAAGAATAGAAATATTTGCAACTATGGTCCGATATCACTGGATTTAAAATCGCAGAAAACGAAATTAAAATAGCCCTAGCTGCAGAAGATACGTAGTATTTACTGATGGTTCATCTAATTCTAAAAGAATAGTAAATTTACTTCGAACAGCTGAAGTGTTTGGAATTACATCAGGGGGCAAAACAAATGCTGAAAAATCACAAACAATGATTATTGGAAGTAAAAGTGGCATATGTGAACAAAATATTCAGCACAATCTGATCTGGACTTATAAATTTAAATTGTTGGGAATTACAATTACGGTTGATTTGAAACAACTATATGAACTTAACTTGCCGTCGAAATTGCAGCAAGTACAAAACATTATCCAAATTTGGCGTATGAGAAATTTAACAATTCTAGGAAAAGTGTGTGTAATCAAATCATTAATTCTATCCTTTTTTACATATATATCAATTTACATTTTTACCAGTTACGATACCCCAAAAATTCGTAAAATCACTGAATTCTTTAATATATATTTCGTTTTTTGTGGAATTCAAATTGGGGAAGAGTCAAGCGTAAAACACTGATTGGCCCAAAAATGGAAGGTGGAATTAATATGGTAGATGTTGGAAGTGTCATTATTTCTAAAAAACTGAAATGGTTGTATCACCTTATTGATGAGTCGAAAGAAAGTAATTAGAAAGCCATTGAACTTTATTATTTACGAAATATAGAATACATTGTTTACTAAAAGGAAATTTATGGTATAATTCTCGCTTCATAAAAAATCTTCCTTTTGTAACAATTAGGGATAGACTTCGTACCTGGTACATATACAAGGAATTAACATGCAATGCCAATATCCATCTATATAATGAATGAACCATTATGGTACAACAAGAAATTGCAATATGCAAGAATGCCATTTTTTATAAATAAAAAAAACTGGAGAGAACAAGGAGTCTGTGACTTACACCATTTGGTGAACAGAAATTCTCTATTCCTTTTATTTTAAAATGATTCAACTTGGTGAATTCAAATCTCTGTGGATTTTGTGAAAATGCAATTGAAGACCTATTTCACTTATTTTTTTATTGTCCGACCACGCAAGATTTGTGGGCACAAGTTACTCAATACTTATATTTTATTACTGACAATCCGGCAATTACTCTAGATAAAAAAGAATGTTTTTTAGGTTATTTTGACCCCCGAATAACAAGTTAATTAATTGTATATTAATTTGTGCACGTTTTGTTTTATATATTGATGAAAGCTGCAGCATATTCTTCCCATATTTGACCTTTTTGTCAACTTTATCCAAAGTATGAAAGAAAGCGAGAAAAGGTATGCAATTAACCGGGGCAAATGAGCTGTACATAATAAAAAGTGGAATAATATGTGAATATATTATTTATACATTTGTGAATTCCAGTCGTTCGCAAAGCCAGAAAACTTAAATTGGAACCGACTTTGGAGAAGAAGAGCTTAGTAACATGGACATTATTGAAACTGTTATTGAATTTGTTTTGTTTACGACTCTACGGGCAGAGATATTTAGGATTAGTTATTTATTGTAATTGATTAAATTTTATAACTATTTATTTGTAAATATTGTATAATATGTCAGTTTAAGATTTCAAATTCAAATTGATAAATGGCGCAAAAGACCACTGAAGTTATAAGCGCCATAAAACATATAACAAGAGAGCTATGCTCAAGTATATGGCACGTTGCGCCACATAGTGGCAAATTTTGATGACGTCATAGCAAAAAAAGAGTAATAGCCTTTGAGCGATAAATATAATATTTACTCACTGAAAATTTCAAAGCAATTGGTCTGGTAATCAATAAGAAAAGCGACTTTTCATAACGTGTCAAAGAACAAGAATACGAACAACAATACCAACATACTATTGAAACGATCGTTATGTCCACCGACGTGTCCAATAACAACAACAACAACGTATGATATATCCGAGTTTAGTCGAGTGGAATGATAGACGTTGAAATCTTTTGATATCACAAATTAAAAGAAAATGGTCATACCGATTTGTCTGGTCGGAAATCTTACGAAATCATAGTGCGGTAACGCCATAAGAAAAGCATTGTAAAGCGTCTTCGAAAATGTATCAATCATTCGAATCATTTTAATTGAGGCAAAATAGTAGAAAGACAAGATTATTTAAAATATATATACTGTAACCTACATATTTATATTTGTGCCTGGAATGAACACGATAGCCGAGGGTTGATTATTTGGTCTACCTGGCAGCGGTCAGCAATAACTTCATAAATAAAACTTATCGGTGTTTTCTACGTTGTGTCATGTAACTACGTCGGATTGGGATGACAATTTGTCTGGCAAGGAAATATTAACGTGAAATTTTTCAATGGTGCCATGCTGAGATTAAAAAAGTTAAAATGTTTACCAGTAGAAAGCAACGTTGGTTATGAATGACCAAAGTTCGACATTCAGTGGTGTATGAAATACTTTATTGTTAAACACAATCAAGATGTGGTTAGAGTAATTTGTTAAAGCAAACAACACCATTGTACGAAACCTCCTGCTAGTTACGATGGTAAATACGAGTTGAAAATATTTATCAAAAAGTATCTTTGGAGAAGAAATATTTAGTGAAGCAGATATTTCTTTCTTGTTTTATAGTGGCTGGCCGAATGGAGATCTTTTGGTAATTATCGAAATAGAAAAAATGACAAGCAATCCCTGATCACGAAGTAGCATACCGTGGAAATTATTCGCATTTTTCTTACACGAATCCCGAAAATCACGCATCAAAATGATCCTTCTTTCAACATCACGTACTGCTCTGAGCAGTTCATTAAAAGAGACTCCACGCGAGACAAAATTCAGATTGAAAAACAAATTGAAAGTTCAACTTCGAGTTGCTAAAAAGTGATAAGATGTTCTGTGGTCCGGCCTTCAGCGTCACTATAATTTTACATTATTACATGGCCCTGTTATGAAAGATAACAGGATACCGATTCTAGGCATTATTAAACATAAGAACACCACTACCACAACTTAACACTGTAAACAATAGAATAACACGCAAACAGTGAAGTATGCAATACGACAGAGCTAGGGCAATCAAGAGTACATTGTTTATCTAATAATTACACTGTAAAGAAATACTAACACCACAATTTCCCCTTCCTAAAAGATTAGTTAACAAAAAAGTTTAAAAAACATTTCACTCATAGTAATGTAAACGATCAATTGGACGCTTTTCTCTAGTAGAACGCCTAGGAGCCGGGGTGTCTATCATCTTCATTGGGGATGTTTCGTGTTTTTCATCATCACCAGGAATATTTGACTTTTCTTCCCCTTCTTGAATTTCTGATTGGTTGATAACGGGATGCGATATTTTTGGTAAATAGTCCGAATCTGCTGTATCAGCCTGCTTTACAGGTAATTGAGAAGGTTGATTATCGGGGAAACTTCCATTATTCTCACTTCTAAACGGTGTACCATCACCACACGGTGCAAGATGTTTTGTTGATACTGTTGAGGTTTTACCATCTGAATACCGAATATGAGCGTAATGTCTGTTTGCATCCAGAAGTTTCACTTCATCGACGTACGGATCAGATTTGTTTCTTCTAATCTGTCTCTTGAGAAGAACAATTTTAGAATTTGTCCGCCACGTTGGAACGGCATATCCTGTGGTAGATCTTCTTGCAAAATTGAACAACCGTTCATGTGGTGTTGCATCTGTTGCAGTGCACAACAGTGATCTGATGGAATGCAAAACATCTAATAGAACATCTTGCCAAAATTCAATTGGCAAACTTTTTGACATTAAAGCAAGTTTTATTCCTTTCCAAATTGTACCATTGCACCGTTCTACTTGACCATTCGCCGAAGGATTGTAAGGAGTTGTTCTACCGTGAGACACACCCTTTTCTTGCAAAAATCTTTTAAATTCACAACTCATGAAAGCCGAACCACGATCAGTATGTATGTAAGCAGGCATTCCAAATACAGCGAACAATGGAGTTAGACTTTTTATGACACTGGCGGCCGAAACATCAGGTGTTGGAATAGCGAAGGGAAATCGTGAAAACTCGTCAATTACGCAGAGAAAATATTTGTTGCGATTGTTCGACGGAAGAGGTCCCTTGAAGTCAATACTTAAACGTTCAAAGGGCTGAGTCGCTTTTACAAGAGTTCCTGCTTCAGGCCGATAGTATTTAGGTTTTATCTCTCTGCATACACGGCAATTCAAGACAGTTCGCTTAACGTCTTCAGTCGAATAAGGTAAATTACGGACCTTAACAAAATGAGCGAATCTAGATATACCTGGATGGCATAAAGCATCATGTAATTTAGTGAGGATATTAGTAGAAGGAAGAGCGCATGAAATCCTCGATAGAGTGTCTGGTGCAACATTGTCTTTGCCTGGTTTGTATGCGATATCGAAAGAGTAACCGGATAGCTCAATTCTCCATCTTTTTTTTCATTTTTGATTTTACCTTTGTGGCGCAAATCAAACATGTAAGAGACACTTTTCTGATCTGTTTTCATGATGAAACGTCTTCCTGTTAAAAAGTGACGCCAATGTCGTACTGCTTCAACTATGGCCATAGCTTCTTTTTCGACCGAAGGGTGTTTAAGTTCAGAGCCGTGTAATGTACGTGAAAAAAATGCCACGGGACGACCAGATTGATTTAGTGTCGCTGCTATAGCAATATCTGAAGCATCAGTTTCCAATTCAAATGGAATATTTTCATCAACGGCAATGAGAACAGCATTTTCTATTAACTGTTTTAGTTCATAAAAAGCTCCAATAGCAGTGTCAGTAAGAGGAAAAGAGGTCGATTTTGTTAATGATTCTATTTGAGAAGTTTGGAATCCATCTAGAATAGTATGAAAAGAATCCCATGCATCTGCTCAATTCTTTAGAATTTGATGGTATTGGAAGTTGGCGTAAAGGTTTTAATCTTTCGGGATCTGGACGAATTTCACCTTCAGCAATTTGATATCCTAAAATCGGCAATGTTCGAGTAGTCCATATACTTTTTGATTCATTAAAAATCAATCCTCGTTGTTTTGCAGATTCCAGGAAAGCAGCCAGGTTTTTGTCGTGATCCTCTTTAGTCATTCCACAAATAGTTATGTTATCCAAATATGGAAAAACTCCTCGCAGTTGTTCTTCTTTCACGAGCTGCTTCATTATCCGCTGAAAACAAGAGACCCCGTTTGTGATTCCGAAAGGCAGCCTTGTGAATTGGTATAAATTTCCCTCGGCTTCAAACGCGGTAAACTCTCTGTCTTGGTGTTTCAGTGGAACTTGATGATAAGCGCTAGTGAGATCAACAGTACTAAAAACTCGATATTGTGCGATTTCATTCACTAACTCTGAAATGTTTGGCAATGGAAAGCGTCCAATAAAGTGAACTTGTTAATAGTTTGCGAGTAATCAATTGCCAAACGTTTCTTTCGATTTTCTGCTTTAACCACAACGACTTGAGCTCTCCATGGCGAAAGGCATGTTTCGATAATTCCTTCTCGCTGAAAGTCTTGCTACTTCGTCTCGAATGAATAATCTATCTTCGTGTGAATATCTTCTCGATTTTAGTGGCTATTGGATGACAGTCGCGAGTTCAGGTGGGTTATTTTCAATGACGAGAAACCACAGATTGATAATTCAGGTTTTTTACCACCGTTAGTGAAATCTTACACTTTTATGCAGGGTTTGGAAATTGAGTCCGAGGATCATATCAGCGCATAAGCTGTCGGATTACACCAAACTTAACTCCGCTATATTTATGATTATTATAGTATAAATCCATTTCAGTTACATCCAAGAACTTCTACTGAACATTAGACGATGCCATGGAAATGACATTCTTTGTTCGTACGAACGTTTGAGCCTAAGAGATTTTACCAGCCTTGGGTGAATATAATTTTCCGAACTACCCACTGTCGAACAAAGCTCGTACTTTTCGTTGACCGACTTCTACCAGGCTGTGGCTTGTCGTAATGTAGACGTAACGTATCCAACATAAGGTTTGTCATGAATAGTAGCCAATGTTGAATGTGGTATCATTGCTGAAATGTCAAGGCGACTGCTGGAGTCATTGTTCGAAATAGTTCTTCCGCGACAGACCTTTGCAAAATGTCCTTTCTTTTGACACTTGAAACAGACTACTTCCCGAGCTGGGCATTTGGATCGTGGGTGTCTACTATTACCACAGAAAATGCATTTACTTCTAATAGTCATCGCTGCATTATCTGGCAACGATCCAACATCGAAATTGTTTGATTGTATTGTTGAAGGTACTGCTCCGACGGAAGTGTTTTCGTTTATAGCATAAGATTGTGAATTTCGAACGGCAGTTTCCAATGATTTGGCTTGATCAACCATTTCGTCCAGTGTCAATTTCTTATTCTCCAGCAGTCGTTGGCGTATCCAACTGGAATTCAAGCCACGTATAAAAGAGTCCCGAATATATTCATTCTGGTATTCTTTAGCAGATACGTTCTGGAAGTTACAATCTTTGCTCAATTCTGTCAATGCTCTTAAATATTCAGCAACTGACTCAGAAATTTGTTGGGATCGCGTGGCCAACATATGACGTGCATATATTTCATTCTTTGTCTGTACAAAAATCCCTTTCAACGTATCTATGGCTTCATCATAAGTTGTGATATTTCTAATATATCTATAAGTTCTCGGAGACACATAGTTTGTTAATACTCCCAATTTATCAAGTCCTACAGTGGGTAAAGCTTCCAAGAAATTTTCGAATGTCTTTTGCCAATGCAGCCATTCGCATTCCGCGTCACGTGTATCAGGATCTGTGTCTAGTTTCTCCGGCTTTAAAACTTTATCCATTGTGGTTGGTTCGTTAAGTTATGTTTAATAAATTGTTATGAAAGATAACAGGATACCGATTCTAGGCTTTATTAAACATAAGAACACCACTACCACAACTTAACACTGTAAACAATAGAATAACACGCAAACATTGAAGTATGCAGTACGACAGAGCTAGGGCAATCAAGAGTACATTGTTTATCTAATAATTACACTGTGAAGAAATACTAACACCACACTCCCCTGGTGTAAACATTTTCGAGACCAGAAACTCATGGCCTCAAGGTAACGCACAAGACAAATCAGTATGCTTTTTAGAACACCTATGCCCGTTTGGGGGCATTTCACATGTATATTATATTAGTGTAATACTGATCTGGCATTAATGGCGCGCTGAATTCATGGAAAATATGATATAGGAAAAAGGCCATACATATTCATGGTAGGGTTTTACAGAAGCATACTCATTTGTCACGCAAGTCTCTGCCTCGCCTTCTTTGATGCCACGATTATTCTTATTTAGATATATTTTTATCTGGGAGGATTGCATCTGTGATAACGACGTTAAAAATGGATAATTCCATTCTAAGTTTGACTCTTTGACGTAAGTATTTATTTATTCTTGCTATACAGCAGGGGGGTTTCAATAAAATTTGAACCCACGACAATTGCACCTGCATACTATTGCACCTATGGAATTTTTTTTACGGATATTTGAACTCATACTAACCCTAACCCATGGATTTTAGCACCCTCATATAGATTGAACCCGCGGATATACGGGTTCAAATGTACGGTCACCCAGCAGGGGTGGCCAACACGTCGGTCGCCACGGTTCTAGCTGTCGATCGCGTCTGATGTTGAGTGAATTTCATTGAAATACCCCCAAAAATTGCCTCAAACCAGTTTTGTGTTCAACACCAGGCGGTATACAGTGATTTCCATGCGCAAAATAAAATATACACATACAGTATTTGAGTCTGGGCAAGCCCGGTAAAGCATATTATTTCGTAACAAATGCAAGTTTTTCCGCTGCCAAGTTTTAAAAATGAAGTACCGAATATCGCGTGTCTAGACTGACAAACGATCCAACAATAACTTCCGCCAGTGGCGGCGCGTCAATAGGGCCAACCGGGGCAATGCCCCGGTTGTTTTTTCGGTATAATAAAAAATATTCGAAAAATACCTCAATATCGGTTGCACAGACTGTCTACACTAGCCATATTCTCCCGACATGGTTCATTTTTCGCTCGCAAAGCCTTCGCCGAACGTCGACGGGGCGACGCCGATTTTGCCCCGGTTGCTCATTGTATATCGTATTCTCTCTTTTATCCTCCACTCGCCGCGTTTGTCTCGTTTGTTTTCTGTTTCTTTTACTAAATCATCGGGGCTAGCCCCGGAATTATGACGACACAATGCCGACGTTTCTTACAACAACGTGTTGACATATTCACGCATTCCTTCTCGTTCGTTGGTTGCTTGAAGAGTTGATAGTTTCCTCGCCTTCGTTTTTGTCGCTTGTTTCGCTATTTGAATCAGTTAGAGACCTTTAGTCCATTTGCTTTCGATTTTCCACATTCCTTTTGAGCTCCTCACTTCTTTCCGGCTTCGCATTTCTTAGCCTTAGACCTCATAATGAATAAGGTTGATGCACTACTTCGCACTCCGTTTTCGCAGCTGCCGCTGGAACAAAAATTAGAGGTACAACGTCTTGGGCCTTATCAACCAAAAAATTGTTCACTGGAACAATCCCATGACGGAGGAAAGCGTCGGCGTACATTCTGCGCAGAAACTTGGTATAAAAAACACGAATGGTTGTGTTACAGCGAGGACAAAAATGCACTGTTTTGTTTTTATTGCCTACTTTTTGCTACCGCCCGTGACTCACGTTGGTGTGAATTTGGTTTTAAAGATCTTAATCATCTTTCCGAGCGTGCCAGGGATCATCAATCCTCTATGGAGCATCTGGACAATGCAGTAAAATACCGAACATTCGGAAATGTTAATATTGCAGCACAGTTGGATGAAGGACGCGCGGTTTCTATTCGTCGGCACAACCAAAACGTCGAGAAAACCCGTCATGTTCTCGGTCGATTGATAGATGTTTTGAAGTTCATTGGTTGTCACGAGCTGTCCCTCCGTGAACGAGCTGGCTCTTCTAATAGAGGGGTATTTTTGGATATGGTGGAATACACCGCATCCCTAGATACAGTATTGAGAGATCATCTTGATGCCGCAACTGTTTCGAAAGGGACATCTAAGGATATCCAAAATGATTTGCTCGACTCAATGTATAAAATTTATTTACAACATTTGGCTCTGGAAATTGAGAATTGCCAGTTCCTTTCGATTCAGTCTGACGAGACAACTGACATCACGTGCGTTTCCCAACTGGCTGTGATTTTTCGGTTTGTGAAAGATGGTAAACCTACCGAGAGATTTCACAGCTTTGTACCAATCGTTGATCGCACGGCTTGCGGGATATCGGCTGTACTGAAAGAAGTGTTACAGCCTTACAACGCGAAGTCAAAATTGATAGCTCAAAGTTATGACGGCGCGGCAGTCATGAGTGGGTCGAAACATGGTGTTCAAGTTTATATAAAAGAAGATTTTCCTCATGCGCATTTTTTACATTGTTATGCACACCAATTCAACCTCGTTATTAAAAATATGTGTCTTGATACCCCTCTCGTCCGTATATTTTTTGCAAACGTTTCGGGGTTTTCTTCATTTTTTTCCGTTTCGCCGAAGCGCTCTGACCGCCTTCACCAGATATGTAGCCGCCGTCTCCCAGCTTGTGCACCAACACGTTGGAACTTTCAATCACGCGTGGTGCAGGGCGTGTCCGAAATTAGGTCCGAGCTCATTGAGTGTTTCAATGGCATTCAGAGCTCTCCGGTTTGGGACGAACGCTCTGTGAGGGAGGCGGCAGGTCTAAAGCGTCTGCTAGAAGATGGTGAGTTTTCATTTTTTCTCGCTTTTTTTCTCCACAATATTCTATCACGTGGATGTATTATACGGCGCATTGCAGTCAAGGCTAATGGATGGAGCGTCTGTGCAGTCGTGTATTTCAGACTTCTGCGATGCTGCATCTCGTATCCGGAAAAAAATAAACTACGACGACACAAGGAGTGCTTCTTTACGCCGCGGGCAAACAACGCAGCGTTTGATTTTGTCTGCAGAGGAATGCTGTGACATTCTGGTGAATCAAATAGGCGATCGTCTGCGCACTGAACACCTTGCCGCGTTCTCTTTGATGAACCCCAAAAATTTTTCAAAATTTGCACGTCAATTTCCCATCCATTTGTTGGCTACTGTCTCCAAATTTTACCCCATGATAAACGTGGGTAAATTGGAAAATGAATTGCGATGTATATACACCAATCAAACTTTTTTGAACATCACATCAACTCGCGCGCTCTATGGGTTCCTCATAGATAACACTCTAGTAACTACCTTTGTGGCGTTTGCAAAATTTCTGGACATCATTTTGACGACGCCTATTTCTTCCGCCGACGCAGAGCGAACATTCAGCACGCTGAAGCGTATTAAAACGTATCTCAGAAACACAATGAAGCAAGATAGATTAAATTCCTTGGCTGTTTTATCCATTCACAGAGACGTTATTTCTGGGATGCATGACTTTAATCAGCGCGTTATTGAGCATTTTGCTTCCAAGAAACCGCGGCGTGTTGCATATATGTTCAAGCAGTAGAGGTCTAGCAGCATATATATCTATGAGTGAGCGACGCATGTCCTTATCTTTGCATTAACTTTCCTTTCTTCATAGTAACGTTTTAAACCTTATTTTAGACTTTGTCTGCTTTCCCGAAGTTTCTGTTAATATGTCATTGTATTTATCTGGGTAAATATTGCCTTTCCTTTTGAAAGAGGTTTCAAAATAAACTATGTCTATATTTATTAATCCCTTGACTTGGACCGGTTTTAAAGACACTTTCTTATCGTTAAAAATTGTCGCTTTTGCCGATTGGTTGTTACCGATGGAATGGTTTTTATACTCATAAAATGATGGGAGAACTTACAGCGCTCATCCTGTCCCCGTAGATGGGGGTGACTTGGTCCCGCAGTAGCTTGCCCCGGTTGTCAAAATGACCACGCGCCGCCACTGACTTCCGCAGTATGTGAAAGGTATTGTCTCATTCCAAAAGTAGTGTGATACATTTTTTGCGCAATGGTCGAATTGCCCGATTTGTTATAATTCTAAGAAAGCGAAGAATTGCGTTTGGAGGAAATTGTAAATTAGATACTGAAGTTTGAGCAGTCACATAACATTCATTGTTTGAGAATATTTATTTTTCGCTGTTTGGATAATACATGAATACTTGCAGATCGGCCACCCCTGCGCTACAGTATCTATGCATTATAAGCATACAGATCCACCCTCAACAAATAATTGTGTCTGAAGGTAATCAAGTTTAAAGTATAGTGAAGAGTATTAACAATTCTAGCACCGGAGGACAGAGACTTTGGGGTTTATACTTATAATGAATCTCTTCGAGAATTTTTTTTATCAGCCCAACGTTCGTATTTGAGAGAAGTCAAATACAATGGTTGCTGTTGTTAGCCTCCGTTGCATCCCCGCGTATGGCACACAGGAGGCCACCTATGAAGTCTTGATTAAACATGAGAAACCTTTTTGTGGAGTTACTCACGATATCAAACTGGTGATTGATTTTCGGCAACGTCAACGCTCAAACATATACACCCGAGAAAAACTCGGCATTTGTAGCATAAAATAGAAAAAGGGTTATCTCACCTCACTATAAGTAGTGTGGTCATATAGAAAAAAGAAAAAAAAGGAAAACCAGTTCCCTTGTAGATACGTGTTTGACATGCGGCTTGAGTGGATAGATTGGCAATAAAAATGCATGTTTGCATTTACATTTATTTGGCTGTTTTCTTGCTGGCCTTGAACTTAGGCCGTATACAAAGCCAGGGCAATAAGAAAAGAATGGTCTGTGAACAATTAGATGATGTGTTCGCACATGAAAATCAACAGAGACCCGAAGTCCGTTCTCAAATTAAAGGACCTCGCGGAAAAAAAGGACCGCCTGGAATAAAGGGGGAAAAAGGAAATGTTGGCACCCCAGGTCGGCAAGGTTTATCGGGAACACCGGGTGCAAAAGGCTCGAAAGGTACAATAGGCGTTCCTGGTGTTGCTAATGAAACTGTACTTCAAATACCTCCCGGAAAAAAGGACCGCCTGGAATTAAAGGGAAATGTTGGCACCACAGGTCGGCAAGGTTTAAAGGGACCACCGGGTGCAAAAGGCTTGAAAGGTGCAATAGCCGCTCCTGGTGTTGCTGATGAAACTGTACTTCAAAGAATTCATCAAGGTAGTTATTATAACAACATTTATTTAAATATTGAACAATGACTTTGCCAATCTTCTGCGACTAAGTGACTAATTAGCGACACCATGACAAGTGTAAGCAAAAGCTTATCAAACATAGGGAATTTCCGAAATTGATAAATTTAATATTATCATAAATAGTACGATTCAAAGCCAAAAAATTCCAGAACTTGTATCTGCTCACAAGTGTTTCCAACTTACATATATCAAAATAAGAATGGGATTTCTGAACATTATTGTAATGGCTTTACTTTTTTTCCATTAGACATTGCCGACGTTGATGCTACAGAAAAAAGTACTGAGAACAGAATAAACAATTTGGAGGGAAAGTGTATGACAAGAAGAGATTTAGGTATGATACACAAGTTTTCCTTTCCAGGGGATCACCGTTTACTTTAAAAATCTTCAATTAATATTATAATACTTTTATATATATATACATATATATATATATATATATATATATATATATATATTCAATATAACTGTAGACACATTCTCATTTATATTTAGAGAATTGCGATGAAGTTTACGATGGAAAGTGTTACGTGTTAATTACAAATGATAACCGACTAAATATAGACCAAGCAAAAGGCGGAAATACAGCAAATATTTACAGCAAAGATCATTTCTATAAAATGGTTGCATTAATCCGGTCACGAATCGTCATCAGGCATTATTACCATCACATATGGACGGGAATGACATTGAACACGAGTGTAAGTCTTCACCTTCAAAGTAAAACCACAATGTTTTGGATCATTTGCCTTCATTAACTTTGCGCAAATGTTTTGTTCAACTTTTTTCCTTTTGATCCTTCAGACTAGAAGAATTTATTTATCTAATGGAAGAACTGCTGCCTACACACACTGGTTTCCAAACAGACTATACAATCCTGCAAGACCTTACGTGGGCATTAACGTTGAATCGGATCCGAACAGTGTAAATCAAGGAATGTTTGATGACTTTTCTACTGGCAGACTTCTTGGGGTTTTGTGTGAAATGTGATTTAAAGCGAACTTTAATATTGATTCTTTGTTCAAAGTTTTCTTTTGTATATGTTTTTTATGTATTCATAAAAAGGCTGAATGAACAGCAAACTGCATCACTTTTGTAAAGACATTTCATAAGAATTACTTTTTACATATCATGCACGAAAAGCTTCACATATATTGGTAATAACATGCTTTTTTCATTCAAAGAAGGGGTGCTGCAAATTAATGGATTTGTTGTAAAGATTAATTAGGAGTCAGTTGATTTTATAAGAATTCTTAATTAAGTCTCAATGCAAACACAATGCAGTATATATATATATAAAGAAAGAGAGAGGCAGTTGGGAACATCGTACAAGTGAGCAATGTCTAAAAATGAAGACTCACACAGTTGCATCGGCACATGAACGAAAAATATTTCAATATTAGAAAAATTTAAGGCGCCCGGGATGCGACAGAGAAAATGATTTCACGATTTGTAATTATAAATAGCCTATAGGGATTTTCCAACTCATCAACGTGTCTGAATGATGACCACATTATTCCCGTGTCTGTTGGATTATAAGAAAATGTTTTATTTTTATTATTAGTTTGCTTTACGTCAATGTGCAAGAACATCTCCATATTGATGGTATTGATCTTATAACCGACCAGTCGATCGCGATCTAATTTGAAGATTTTAGTCAGCATTGCCGCTATATAGATATTAGTTGGCTGCATATATATATTGGCTGTATTTGTATGTCACGTTACCAACCCTATCAAAATGCAAAGTCCAATAGGATTAGCTTACTATTTGAATGAGATCACAAAACGCTGAAAATTCCTTCAGCCTAATGCAAAATTACGCCGATGAGATCTCAGTACTACGTCATCAACGTACCATGCTAGTTATCAAACGATTTCTGTGGGGTTGACTTTCGAGTTTCTCAAACGAAGCGGTAAACGCAAATATAGAACCAAATTTGGCCACAAAAATTTGTGCGTGATACACCCGACTTTTAATGGATTTTCATAGCACACATAAAACAAAACATTTCATGAACTTGTTAACTTTCCGCATGTGTCTAAATTGACTTATAATTCAAATAAATGTACATTGGAATGCAATTATCTCCTGCATCACACAGCTAGCTTGTGGAATTATCGAAGGTGAAAATGAAAGTAAATGAAGCATTGAAAGAAACTTCGTACTGAACCATGAACTAAACCTAAATCAATACCTAAGAAATTTTCGCAAACGTTTGGAAAAATCGCTGAATATTATCTAGCAGCGTTGAATTAGGTACACGTTCGATAGACTTGGGTATAATTTCAGGCATTTTGCAATAAAAATGAATCATAGATAATAATTTACATTTCAAGGTCTGCTTTATATGCCTGCTACAGGAGTATCTAAATTGAATTAAAAAAAAAAAATTGAAGAACTTTCAATACAGACAATAACGGCTCGCAATGGTAAAAGGCAAAGATGATCGCAAGAAAAAAATACACAAGCAGTTGGGTAAACATCAGCTACGGGGCACTTTATCGAATGAAAATACTAAAAGTGGGTTTATTTCCAAAAACTGTTGAATAAGGTCAGTTGTTCATCACGTTATCGTATTCAAACCCTTTAGTTTTAAGTGAAATATGTGCTGAAGTACTGAGGTTTGCACGCTTTCAATGGTATATAATGAATTTTTGTGACAATTGAGAATGCACAGTGTTACTGTGAACACAGCATCATCTAATTAATTAGTTGTAATTAATTAGTAATAATAAAAAATTAATGAAAATACATAGTAAACCCTGCTAAGGACACACTCACAACTTAGTAGACTCACTAGGTTAGTATTTCATTCGGCGACCCAAAGAGTTCAGTCTAAACAGTGGATCTTAGCCCGGGTTTGATGAAGATCAAATGATTGGTTGCAACTTTCAACAACACTTCATGGTGATTACATGCCGTTTTGTGGAATCGTTCTTTAATGAGAATATTTCTATTATTGATGCTTCAATTTATACGTGTTGTACATAGTACTTCATTATAACGTTATACAACAAACAGTAATTATATGTCGAACGGTTTTTATGAAACCGAAGTGAAAATATTCTAAATTTAGCATACAAACTCTGCCGAAATATTTTTTCAAGTTCGTGTTTTCAACAGCAAAACGTAAATTCATTGTTATTGGAGTGGTGATCGTGATCTTGGCTGTGTCAATAGCTGTGCCGGTGACTTTATTGGTTCTCAAAAAAGAAACTATTCCAGATACGACGGCATCAACGCTGGCAATAACACGGGAGGATATGCATGGTAAGCAATTCCAAGCAAAAAATGATAGTCAATATTTTTATTTGGTTCGATTTTAATCAGTTAATTGTATATTTTACAATTACGGTCAATTTCATGTCAATAACTGTCTCATGCCTACAATCTGGTAGTGAGATAAAAATTCGTTTTCGATGTTGGACTATAATATAATAGTGGGATTTTCAACGACTACGACGAGAAAGTGCTGCCTGTAGCATACGTAGAAAGATATAGGAAGTGTGCAAAATTCAGGATTGCTAGATTGTGGGTTGTTTATATAAGATTCTGGGTACGCGTTACGTTGTAATACAAGCGGTTACACTTATAAATTGATCTATGCCATCATAATACAGTTCAGGAATATTGATATTATGTGGTCAAATTAAATTTAATAATTTATGAATAATTTAAAAATATATCGTCACGGTAGAGAGGCGTCACAAACGGAATAGCTAAGGCTGATGTGAAAAGGGTTGGAATGGTGCAAATCCAGGCCCGTGGACACATGCGGTCCGCAGATTCATTATCTGTGGCCCGCGTCGCATTCGAAAAGTACCGTATGTGCTCGTTTAACCGCCCGATCTTGATTAATAAGGGCCAATTTGAATAGACGCCCGTGTGAACAGAACATAAGAACGAGAATATCGGTCGGAGATCGAAGACTTATCGATCGAAACCGCGGTTTCGATTCATGACTCTATAGTGAAACCGCGTGTACCATCCCTAATTATTAAATAACTCGCTAATTATAAGATATAATTCATCCATAATCGATATTCTCGTTTCAATATTGATAGGGCGTCGCAAAACTTTTCTTCTTTTGCGGATTTGTAACTGCGGTGCGTAGAAAAAGTCAAAATTTTTGTTATTCTCGTTCGAATCATACTGGAGGACTGGAAATGACAATATATTAATTATTGTAACGATCGATCTTCCGTATATGTGACTTGACAAACAAACAACCTGACAAAACAACAAGCGTCCGTGCTTGAATAAGGGCCCGGTTAGTGAGTTTGGTTTAAAAATATGGGCCCGGGCTACAAAACGAGAAAATATACTGTAATCAAAAATTGCATTTTGTGTTATTTAGTCATAAAATTAACCAGAAAAATCTTCTGATGTATACGGTACACTTACAAGCGGTTACACTTTGTGTTACATCACTAATGTCACTGAATTTACTAGTGATATGGCTAGCTGAGGCAACGTTTGGTCGGGAATATATGCTAACAATTTTGGCATCATAGAAATTTAAAAATCGAATGCGGAAAATGATGCCTATATGTCGGAAAATTTAGTAATTACTCTCCTGTACCTTACATTGTGTAATCAATCAATCTGTTATTTTGTGAACATAAGTTTGAAAAAAAAAGTTGACAAATTCAAACAGATTTTTAACTAGATGTGGGAGGAAAAACACCACAATGCTCACTGCAAGTTGTGTCGGTGATAAAAGAATATAATTTAGAGCGGCAATGAGCATTTCCAGTGTCAAGATATTACTTAAATTTGTGGAAGCACTTTTTCCGTTATGAAGAGTTTGAAATCCTACAATAAATGTAGATATAGAAAAAGTTTTGTAGGTTTTAGGAAGTTTTTTGGTGGTTTTTACATGCCTTAATGTGTTAGCTTAATAAATAACAAATACTGATCAATGTGTTTGCAAAATAAAAGTGTTTGTTATGTATTGCACTGTTTACCTATTCTTGGCACTATTGTGGCCCGCGAACAATGCAAAAATAATTTTGTGGCCCCGGAGCCGACAACCTTGGACCACCCTGAGTTAGACAGAAGATCCGGCAAGTTTTGAATAAAATAAATTAGGAACGTTTATCGCAGGATTGACTGTATCTATGAGCGTGCAGCAAAAAAGTAAGACTTATGAACATTTTCCAAAAAGTCTAATTTCATTATACTATGATATAATTATATACTATTATAAGCATGTAACTATGACATTGAGATATGTTTTGAAGAATCTTTTCTCTTGCGTTTATGTTTTCTCAGAATTTTGTGAAGTAAAAAATGAAAAAAGAGGTCTGTGTTACTGGACTGAAATCCATCAAAAACCAGATGTCGATTATTTACGAGCAGTTTCTATTTTCAAACAAATGTCGATGGAAATTGCTGTCATACCGAAAGATGATCCCAGTATTGATACGTTCATTTCTTCGAAATTGATGAAAATGATTCCTCCACATCGTTATTGGTCAAGCGCATGGACAAATATGACTGTTGATTTGAAGGTATAAACGCAACTACCGCCAAGTGTGTTAGATTTAAAACTTTTTTTAGAGTTTATCATGATGGATTGATTTTGAAGATGAGCGTTACTATCGATGTGCTTTTGCAGAACCAATTTTATAATCTACATGATCAATGATCTCATCTCCGATTATGCCGACGTCATTACTTAATATTGATGTCTATAGATAAGATTTATGATCACATATAACGTAGATCGGGTTGGGGAAATTGGGGAAAGCAGTGGCAACTGTTTTATCACCTCAAAAAAAAAAGATTCCATCACAAATCAATATCAATCTAATGCCATGACAATCAATGGAGAATTCATTTCGTTTATAGCAAAAAATCTTTCTGTAATTTTGGTTGTGAATTTGGTCTCACGAAAATTGTATTGTATTGAAATTCACAGTTTATCTACTATATTATAGATTTTTAAACTTGACTGTAAGTTATTTTCACGGTTAATAATGAAGAAACAACATTTTTATGATAATCCAAATATATTTTTTTTAGATTTTCTCGCCCACGATTTTTTTCAAAGGCATAAAGGTTAAGAAATA